GTCAAACATAGTGAGTTGGATACTATATATTATTCTCTAAGGACCCTTAAATCATGAGTTCCTCGTTGTCCAAAACTAATTTTGGTCGATCCTAGAGATATGAACTTCAAGTATTATACTAGTATTGAGTCATTACTGTTTTTCTTGTTACATCTGATTTGGAAAAAGATACATCTGTAATTGTGAGTTTGATGAGAATCTTGAAATTCCAAAGGGACTGCATAAACCTTGGTGTTAGTTTTATAGTGACAGTAGGTTTTCTTATACATAGTTTAGTTGATTTGCGGACGTCCTGAATTTTCCACTACCAACTGCTGCAAGATGACAAGTATTATTTTTCCTTTACACGTGAGTTTCTTTATTTTTCACTTAAGACAGAATGCCAGTAATTCTGGGTGACAAGGATTCAGTCAACACTTGGTTAGATGATCCATCAACGTCGAAACTGAAACCATTACTTGCACCATATGAAAATACAGATTTGGTAAGCTTACTTAGTTCCTCATTTTATGTTATAATGGTCTTTTCTTTTTCACATACTTGAGATTTACCTTACAGGTATGGTATCCAGTAACCCCTGCAATTGGTAAACCAACTTTTGATGGACCAGAGTGTATACAACAGGTACGGTTAACCAGTTTCCCTTTGTTAGTCTACAACTCAAGGTCTTACGCTGCATCTTAAGTCGTGTTAAACAGATTCTCAGGATCACCTCATGGAACCCTCTCAAGTCTGATATAGCACGCTATGTTTTTATATGCTTATCGTCATTAATATTCAAGGATTATGCCACATGCAGATACCGCTGAAGGCTTCCCAAAATAGCTTGATCTCGAAGTTTTTTTCAGCAAAGCAGCCCAAAACAGATGAAGGAGACGAAGAAACCAAATCGACAGATGCAAATACCCCTGTTCATTTGAAAGAGGAACCTACTGTTGAAGGTTATGAAAGGGCAGTCTTATCGAACAGCATTACGAAAATTGAAGAACCAGACGAGGAGATAGATATATCGAATGAAGCCGAAAACCTGGTGTTTCAAAAGATTGTGAAAGCAGAACCATTCATTGAAGACAACTCATCTGTTGCATCCCATTTTGAAAATGAAGCTGAGGAGGGTACATATGGGGAAGGCAAATCCATAAAGACAGGTCTTACTAATGAAAGATGTGAGAGAAATTTCAGCATACCGACTGAGTCCGACAACCTTGATCTCCCAGGAATCTCAAAAGAGGAACCCAAGAGCCAAGGCCAGCGCTTCACTGCAATTGAGGAATTGAATCAGCTTGAGCTCCCGCATGAGACTATCCAAGGCAAACTAGGAAATGAAAATGAGAAGACAGTTTCAACTTGCCATACTCCGAAGGAAAGTGGGTTAGAGTTTAGCGAGAAGTCTTCAGGGAAGAGTGGGACAAAGCGAGGCTATGAGTTATTCTCAGCTCAAGAGAAGCCATGGAAACACTCTGAGATGTTGCAAGATGCTAAAAGCAGTGGGAAACACGGTAGGAAGCAAGGAAAAGGGAAGTCTAACATGAAGAAATCTAAGGAGAGGCAGTCTACATTACATTTCTTTTTTGATGAGAAATAGTTGGTGGAACATCTATTAGGAGTTAGGACCATGTTGGGGTAATTTTTAGTTGTAGATTCTAAAGTATGTATTATCGTTTTGAGAATGTTGATGCGTTGTATATATGTTATGTTTCATCTTTGGTCTAGGCTAGTAGTAATAGGAAATTATGTTTTTGTTTTTGTACAAGACACCGGTTGAGATGGGTTTTAGGATGTGATGTCACTGATGAACCCTTAAAAAGATTCCAGTGTTAAAAAAATTAAATACATGCATTAATGCTATTCTCGTCCAAACACACTTGGTTACGAAATTCTGATGGAATACGGTGCATTAGTGTTTGAATCTTTTTTATCGCGTTAATATTCGTTGATTTGAGGATATAAAACTTTAGAAAAAGGTAAAGAGTTAAAGAGTTTTGGTTAGTTATTAAATTTTTTTTATTTTTTTTATTATATTTGTCAAATTCCCTAAAGAAAATCGTATATTTTTCTGCAGAAAGAATATAGTTGTGTAGTTTTTTTTCCATGATGTCCCCTAAACCGCCCCTGACCTAAACCAACGAAATCGAACAAGACTCTAATCCCTCCCTATAGACAGAGACAGAGGGGTTGATCGGAAATACAAGCCTGGGCAAAATCAAGAAGAAGTGAATGTCTTCCTCAAAATCTCATTACAAGGAGAAGATTGCTCGTCGGAGGTCTGTAATTTTGGACTTTTTCAAGTTTAGGGTTTTTATAACGAAAGTCGTGAACTTTTGCCTTTTTTTTTTGTTTCCAAAGGGAGGAGAAATTAGAGGAGTCGGATAATCCAAGGTACAGGGATCGTGCCAAGGAACGAAGAGAGAATCAAAATCCTGATTATGATCCGACAGAGCTTGCTTCTTTCCACGCTGTTGCTCCTCCCGGAGCTGTCGACCTCCGGTAACACTCGTTTTTCCGATT